TAGTGTGCACAGCAAATTTTTAAATGCTTAGCTTAAATATGTAATTTTAATTAAATAGTGCTCATAAATGGCTGTTGAGATAGTATTCTCAAGTGAAATAAGTAGAGGCATGGACCCGGAAACAGCAGTCCTTACGTCATGACTTAACAAGAGGATACTCCCCAAGCCGTCAAACTGACGTCATCAGAGCCAGAACGCCAATCCAGAGTGGAAGCGACGGCAGACCTTTTTTTTTTCCAGTGCATTGACTTGCATGGTTCAATTGTTCACCACAAGACTAGCAATGCGCACTAAAAAAAGTAGGGTCATTTTTTATTTCATGACGACTAATCTTTGTCAATATGCCAGATCCCGTTAGAAAATATCAGTTTGTCCAGTAACAGAATAACTAGTCAGCAGCACTGTTAATACCCAAACCCTGTCAACAGCAAGTATCCAAAAATACCCAAAATGAGTGTTTAACAGTCTTCTGTCAGTCTGACCAGCACAAATTCAACATGTACTGTTATACCAAAACTGCTTCACAACAACATCCCATAAACCTTGGGTTTCCATAAACATTCCCTCTTATCTATCTCCATTCATACAGACAAAACAGTTCATGAAACCCCACAAGCATGAGATTGAACAACAATGAAAATGCATAAGCTAGGGAAAATTAATAAGAAATATAAAATATAGAAACATAAATGAATAAACATAATAAATGAATAAACAATAAAAATACTTTAATATAATGATAAATGATACAAATAATCAAATAATAACTCATATGAATGACTAATGATTATAAAATGATTATGTGAATAAATTAATATAAATTAATTTAAAAACATGAAAACAAAAACACAACACAATTTGCACGTGAGGATCTAAAGATCCTTCAATATAAATATTGATCAATTACCATTACAAAAATCTCAATCTTAAACATTTGCTCATTCTGTGTATTTGTGTCTTTAAAATAGGGTAACTTTGTTGCAAAAGCTTACAGCACAAGGAAGCTTGATTTCAAATTTGATTTCAAACTAAATTGAATTTACAAAAAAAAAAAGAGAGACAAGTACACACAATTATATAACAAATGACCTCAATTCAGTTTGAGGTATTCAAAATATGACAACACTGAATTTTTATAAGCAGTGATTTAATAGCCATATATGTTAGGCCTATTTATTTAGAAAAATGGAACATCAGATGGCTTTGACCTGTAATGACATACTCCTAGATCGATTACAAAACTATACAGGTATTCAAGGGCAGGCTTTAAGATGGTTTAGATCCTACCTGTCCGATCGCTACCACTTTGTTCATTTAAATGGGGAGTCATCTCGATTATCACCAGTAAAATATGGAGTGCCACAAGGATCTGTCCTAGGTCCTCTGCTATTTTCGATATACATGTTGCCCCTTGGTAATATTATTAGAAAATACGGGATTAGTTTCCACTGTTATGCTGATGATACTCAACTATATATCTCAACAAGACCAGATGAAACTTCTAAATTATCTAAGCTAACAGAGTGTGTTAAAAATGTAAAAGATTGGATGACCAATAATTTTCTCCTATTAAATTCGGATAAGACAGAGATATTACTTATTGGACCAAAAGACAGTACACAGAATCTCTTGGATTACAATTTGCAACTAGACGGGTGTACTGTTACTTCCTCTACAGTCAAAAATCTGGGTGTTATATTAGATAGCAACTTGTCTTTTGAAAATCATATTTCCCATGTTACAAAAACAGCATTCTTCCATCTTAGAAACATTGCCAAGTTACGAAATATGTTACCTGTTTCTGATGCAGAAAAGCTAGTTCATGCATTCATGACCTCTAGACTGGACTATTGTAATGCACTGCTAGGTGGTTGTCCTGCATCTTCAATAAACAAGCTACAGGTGGTCCAAAATGCAGCGGCTGGAGTCCTTACCAGGTCAAGAAAATATGGTCATATTACCCCAATTTTACAGTCTTTGCACTGGCTACCTATTAAGTTCCGTATCCGTTACAAAATATTATTACTTGCCTATAAGGCCCTTAATGGGTTAGCTCCTGCGTACCTAACTAGTCTTCTACCATGCTACAATCCATCACGCTCCCTAAGGTTGCAAAACTCTGGACTTTTGGTAGTACCTAGGATAGCAAAGTCCACTAAAGGAGGTAGAGCTTTTTCGCATTTGGCTCCCAAACTCTGGAATAGCCTTCCTGATAACGTTCGGGGTTCAGACACACTCTCTCTGTTTAAATATAGATTAAAGACACATCTCTTTGGCCAAGCATTCAAACAATGTGTAGCGGGGAATTTCACTACAATGTAGGGGTGAGTTTAACTTCTGCTACAATATATCTTGGATGACTAGGGAAATGACAAGATCTAGGTCTTCAACCCCTAATACATTTAATTCCTGTACTTATTTAAGTATGTTTTTATCTGCCTTGCTAAATATGTTTTTTTTTCTTTAGTAGCAGCGACTGATGAGGATTGAGGCTCTGGAATTTAATAACGTACACGGTAGCCACCCAGAGTATAATGGCGTTGATTAACCCCTCTTCCCCTCTATCAGCCCACAAGACAGTAGGAATGCCCCTACTCCAAGATAACAGAAGTTTTACACTTATTTCCTAAATGCTTAGTAAAGAATAAACAAAATAAAGAAAACAATAGTCATGAAGTAAAATCTTTGTTTCACTTTACTTATGAATTCTTATGATTTCACCAAGAAATGTACAAAAAATTAAAAATAAAATTTTGTTCGGTTTCTTTTCTTTCAACAATAATACTAAAACAAAAATAGAAAAACAACAACAGTTCTGATAGAACGTTCGAATGGTACTCAGTTCACTCAAAAGTACATTACAGATGTTTAATGCCACATCAGATATCTTTCATGTCAGTTCACATTCACAATCCCAGAGTTAAAGTTTTACCTCACAGTAGAACTGGGCTGGTGTTGGAGTGTCCAGATATGGCAGGGTAATTAGATCAAACAAATAGCCACCTGTTCAAAAACAGAAAGTCTCTTCCTTTTCTTTAAACACAGGAAAAATAATGTTCAGGAATAAATAATAAGGGAAAAAATATATTTCTACGAACGTTTCCGGTAGACGAGAAAAAAAAAAACGTATTTCGGATTCATTCACTCAAGCAAACTCAGTTATCAGTTCTCAAGTCCATCCAAAAAGAATTTCGAAGTCTCTAAGTGAAAATACTGCAAAACGTCCGAAAATAAACTATGAAAAATAGAAGGAAAAATATTGTCAAAAGAAGAGCTTCAATGTGTTCGCAATGTCGTTTGTGTCCACACGGCGGCACTATTGTATCAAAAACGAACAACAGTAGCAAAATCACTCGATCCAAGCTGCTTTGCTTCAAAAACAAATAACGTCCGCGTATTTCTTCCGAATATCAACTGTGGTTAAACAGCAGTGAAGAAAAAACTCACAGTATCTCGGCTCCCTTCCGTAGAAGACGAACACTCGTGCTAACACACCTTCTCAGCTAGCACGATGAGCAATGCCCCTCCTGGTATA